CCCCAAAACCCCAAAACCCCAAAACCCCAAAACCCCTAAATTTAGAGGGAAAATTGAGTTTTAAAAGAAATTTGAACTAATGGAATCTGTTGAGCAAGAGGAGATTGGAGTGCAAGTGGAAGAGTAAGTGAGGGTGGGGAGAATAGAGGGTGGAGGGATGGGGGATTTGGAGAGGAATAGAGTGGGTGATTGAGGGATAAGGAGGTTATAATGATGAATGAGCGGTTGGTTAAGAATTATAGGATTAATATTAATGAGGCTGTTAAGTTTGGAAATCAGATGGATCCTTTTGGGTTTTGAGAAGTAAACCCTATGAATGCTTTGCATTTTGTGTTCAGTAAGTTTTAATTAGTGATGCTTCTAGATTCCAGATATAGTAATGTTAAGAATAGTATTAAGATTGCTTCTTTTCCTGAAGCTGTATCTTTAATTGTCTCTATCAATATTACAAATTAATCAGCCGAGAAAGATTATTAAGACTCTCGAAAACGTTTGAAATTTAAAAATGAAAGGATTCTCAATTCATAATTCTCTTAAAACTCCTGTTGGAAGCATTAAAGTTATTATCAGCCCAATGCTAAAAATATTGCCTAACTTGGTCAATGATTGCCATTTCTCTCATTTGAAAATAAATGGAATGCAATTTTCAAGAATCTTAACTAGTTTTAAAACTCTAAATAAGTTAAAACTAACAGAATGCAGATTAGATAAGACTAATAGTCATCTTAAGCCAATCTCAGAGCCATTGATTGAGAAAATAGAGTTTATGAAATGCAAAGATTTTGAGGAAGATGATCTCAATATTGTCAACCCTGTTCTAGAATCTCTTCTAAAGTGTATCTCTGAAAAATGCTCTAAAGAGGCATTAAAAGAGCTAAAAATACGCACAAAAGCAACATCAGACCCATATGACTCCCTCATAACCCTCAGAGCTTCCTGCAACCTAACCAGCACCAAACTGATCGCCACCATTACGTCACCCCATTACGAAATAACCATCGATCCTGAATTATAAAACCTCAACCACCACTTTTACCCCTGGGGTTTTGGGGTTTTGGGGTTTTGGGGTTTTGGGGTTTTGGGGTTTTGGGG